AAAAAAATGAAAATTATAAAGGATAATAAAAGTGATAGATAAGCAAATAATTGAAAATTGTAAATGATAAAAATAATTGATGAATAAATGTGTTAAATGAGGCAATGTTATCTTAATATAAAAAACCAAAATTTTAAATATTTAAAACCTCATAAATGAAGGAAATGAAAAGTTAATGTTTAAATGTATAAATGCATACCCTCTCATTATCTTTAATGACATCTTTCCATGATTTTTTTCTATGCCCTTCCGTATTCTTATCCTTCCATCTTCTTATCCTTCTACCTTCCTCCCCACCTCCAATCGTTAGTCACTTTCCCTATACCAATATGTTATATTTTTTTCTTTATCTCTACAATTTCATTTTACTAACATGGTGAGTTTCAAATAATTTGTTTTTTTCATGTTTCATTTTATAACTAAGTATAATATTATGTTTTTATTTTCTTATACATATTTTTCTCTTTGTCCAGAATATGTATATTGTTGTATGAAATAAGGATTATCATTTTTTTATGAATTTTTATAAAACATATGATATTGTTCTTTTAAAAGAATTTTGTAGGTTTATCTATTTAAAATTTATGCAATCTTTTCTTTGTGGACTATTAATGGATTTTTTTTATTCTTTTTCGTGTGTGTTAAGGAGATAACTTCACTCATGAAATTGAAGTCAATTAAAGTAATAAAAGTGTTGATATTTAAGTGATTTTAGAAGTACATTTTTAAAATTATCTTAATATAATCAAGAAAATTAATTTTCTTAGATATTAGCTTGAGATTCAAATTATAAATCTAATTTAAAAAACAATACTTACTTATCAATAAATCTAAGCATTGAAATTTCACTAATTGATAAATTAATAATATATAATCGTACAATTTTGTTAGTAAATTCAAAAAGCATCTGATATCATTTGCAATGTACTAAGTCTAAAAAAGAAAAGAAAAAAAAAACACATAATGAAGCTGTTATTTTTCATTTTGATTTGAGGGAGTGAAAAAAATAGTGATGAAGCTTCCTCTAAAAGGTTTCACACCTTTTTTTAAAAAAATAATAATAATTGGTTTCATACTTTGATGGTGTGCTAATAGACTTAGTAAAATTAGATCCAGTTTGGAGATTTGACTTAATTTACCTGTTATAAGTTAAGTTATAACGGTAAGGTATAAATTTGGAAACTAGAATTTAATTTAACCTAAACTGAATTACATGGATTTGATTGGATTGAGTCTGGTCATCTAAAGGACTTGATTAAAATTAATCTTTTTAACTTTTAAATTTTAATTAATTATACTTTTAATTTTAATTTTTAAATACAAAGTAAAAATTAAATTCTATAAAATTACTATTTATTAAAATATTAGAGTTAATATTTGTCAAGCCCCAGAACCCAAATCCGAGGCGCAACAGATGCCGTGCACTCGTGAGACGGGTCCCACAAATGCACAAGACTCGGAACTTATCCAATTCACATCTAATAATCCCATAACTCAGATCGAATATTTCAAAATTTCTTTTCTATGTCCACATGACTTAACCTCAAAATCTCCAGGTCAAATCTCTTGTAACTAACAATCCATTAACTGAATTTATAAAATCTCCAATTAAACTTTTGTTTATAAGATCATGATTTATATCTCAAATCTATATTCACTTTACAAAATGGCTAGCCTTCTAACTCGTCACTCCCCTTGATTTCCCCGTCCTCGGTTTCGCTTCCTAAAATGGTGGACAAGGAAAACTATGAAATAAAATATCTCAGTAAGTAAATATGGATAGCCCTTGGGTAAAACTTTTAACATGCTAGATAAACCATGTAAGTATAACAGAACTTTCACTGATAAACCGTTAATGCGGAAATCAAATTCGGTTCAATAGCAAAACGTTCAATGACAAAACCGTCAATGCAAAAACAGATTCAGTTCAATAACAAAACGTTTCCTGACAAACCGTTAATGCAGAAGAAACTCAGTTCAGTAGTCTCATCTATAAGTCATGGCCAGTGTTATAACAACTCACTGGCAGGCGACAGAAATTTGCCAATGTATTCGCCCAGTGGCAGGCGTCATATCAGTAAACATGTCGACATGTGCTAGCGTTACACCCACTAGCGGGGATCGGAAGTGCTACACACCCACTAGCGGGGATCGAAAATCATGACCATATCAGAGACAAAACCATGCAGGATTCACAGTCAAAATCCGTAATTCACAATCGAAATCCGTAATTTCAGAAATAACCAGAAAATTCCATGTGAACATGGATTTAACAGAAACCGCAGAATTTGCAAACTCTCAGTTCATCAAAACAGTTCAGTCAATTCCAAATATGCATGCTCTATTCCAGAAAAACAATGAAATTCTCATTTTCATTCCAATCATGCTCAGTTCCAGAAAATAATAATTTTCATAAAAATCACCACAATTTCCATTTTAGCTTAATCACATTCAGATGCTGATAAAATCAATTTAAAATCAATTTAAACCTTGCCACCATCTCAAAAACAATTG